TTTTTTTCGGCGTTCTTTCGCTTTTTTCGTTTTTTTGTGGTACTGGAAGCATTACATACTTAATAAGAGAAATTGGCATCATTCTATGACGTCATGCGGAGTGCTGAGTCCTCCTACCCCCTGAAACTATCTCCGAGTTGCGCAGTCCATTCGGATATCCACAAAGAATGGATCGCAAGTGAAACAAGAATCGCCTGGCGTACCAATCTTAAGGAAGGTGCTGTAGCGGGCCGCATTTGGGAAGTCCCCATTACGTGTAAAAAAATTGGGGCCTGATCTCACGAGGTTCCTGCAGTCGTTCTGGCAGCTAACCGAAAACGGTTTACTTTGTTAGTATTGGCAAAGATCGTATACATTATTGAGAATTCTGCTCGACTGATGTAACTTCCCGAGGACTGGAACCGTAACTGCCACAAAGCTGCTCCCAGAAAGCTGCTGTTTCTGCAGGCTGGCTTTTGGGAGGGATCTGGGCCTTAACACGTTGACGACATTGTGCAGCGCATGCGCATCACACCTTGAGCACCGTGTGGGACCGTGTGCAGCGCATGCGCTGCACACACAAATTATTAATTTTATTCGCGCATGCGCTACTTCTTTTCTAATTTTTGCATCTATTCTATGGACCACACCATAATGTGACTAGACACGGCGAGGTTCATTGAATGGGGTTTTTTTTTTTTGAATATTCTCCTTTTTAGCGAAGGTTTTCCTAGTCTAACGAATTTCCCTATTGTGTTCATTCCCAGTTTTCTTTATAATCTGACAATCTTGGTCATAAAAAAGAGTAGTAGAAGTAAGTACAGGCCTACACATATGGCAAAGATACATGTTTTAGTGGAGCAATCATGTCAAAAGTAATTTTGAGGTTTACTACATCAAAAGCAACTGAAACTTGCCTTTTCATTGCCAGAAAACGTCAATTCGATCAAACTTTTCCGGCTGTTCATTCTGATAAATCTGACAGATCGAATATCATTCGAAACATTTTGTTGCATCCGAGTTTTGCGTAGTTAAAGCTCAAAATTCACATGTTTTATGTGAGGTGGCGGCGCCTGCAAAATCGCCGTGGTCCCACGCGGTGCAAAAACCCAAAACGCGCGTTGTCGTCAACGTGTTAAGGCACCTTCGTGAGCCGAGAAAAGCTGCTTCCGGGACTATTGATTTCCAAGGGTCCCCAAACTGGTTAGGTAATGTAAATGTTAAGTGAAATGTTGGAACAGCCATGTTATCTTAGTAAAAATCACCAGTAAGCGTACAAGGTCAGGGATTGAATTAACCAAGTTGCCGTCAGGATCACAAATTTTTACTTGCTGGAATTTTCGTACCTGCGCTTTAACCAAAGAGCATAAATCCTCTTATGAAGCCACGAAACCTTTCCCCTACAGAAAATATCCAAGGAGCATGAAAACAAACACCACTTATATGGTTCTTCGTGCCCTGAACAATAAGTCGCCGGTAGCGGCCTGTGTGCGCTGGCGGGGCGTCAGCGGTGTATACCATTTGCAACACTCTAGAGGCCAGTACGCTGTGTGAAATGCATGTTGCCGTGGATTCCGACTATCGGCATTCACATTCCTGCGCTGGGACATTGCCCCTGAAAATGAATTTTTCACCATTTCATTGGCTTTTCCTTCTGCAGTGCGTTTTGGGAATGACAGCCTTTATTCTCATAGGTGCGTGAAGCCGGGGTTGTGGCACAGTCGTTGCGTTTTCAAAACCAGATTGGTCCCCCGGCAAGCGCCGGAACCTCCCTACCTTGCGTAAGCTTTCCCTTCTCCCTCCTCTCCTTACTCTCCCCTCGTTCCCCTCTGCTCGCCGGCTACCACAGCATCACCTTGTCGAATGACCGAAAGTGTGCTAAGTGCGTGTTTATATAGCCGTTGGGGATGCTATCACAATCATGCCATTGCAAAACACTAATAGCTAAAGTCCTGTGAGCTACATGATTCTGTTAGCGGTTTGTTTATCCCATGAGCTTCCTTCTCACTCACTTCATTTTGCGGACGGACACACAGACATACATACATACATACATACATACACACACATACAGACATACAAACCGACACACAAAGTTAGCGCTTTATAAATAGAAGGATAGGTCTAACCTTAGGCCGTAAATAAAAATGTTATCTAGAAACCTCGTTGGCAAAGAAAACACTGAACTTAAGAACGATGCGAGGTGCTGAAGGGAGAACTTGAGAACTTTGAAACCCTATATTTCAATATGTAATTCTTATAAGTCGTTCAGGTCGTATACATTTCTAACACCTTATAACATTCATTTTGGGGACGCAAAAATGAATTGATTGGTAACAATATGAAAAAAGAAAACTGAGAAAATTGGATCCAGTCAAAAAGTAATAATATATTGTCACGTACCATTTGTATTGTCTTCATCAGCAGCATCTTTCAGAAAAAGACCCTGACTGTTTTGCGACGACAACCAACCTGCCGCCTGAAAATCAGTGTAGCTTTTGGAAAGATAAAGAGGCAGCAGGAATCACAATACAACAAGAAATAAATGCAAAGATTCGATTAGTGAACCGAAGGGGGACACCGAAAAAGCCTAATTGCGCCTCTGAATCAAAACGTCCTTCATATCTCCCTATATACAAAGGAGACCTTTGTCGATCTGAAACTATCATAAATACATCGCTCCTGGACTTCTTACCCCCCAGCGGTATACCCCCCTGTCCGCCTGATACTAATATGCACCAATAGTGGCTCGCGCCTGGTCGTGTGGACGCCCCCACTGCAGGAGGACTACCCCTGGCCACTCCTAGAGGCAGAATTTAACCCCGAATGAAAAAGCCACCCATTTGAATCAGTCAAGGATTATGGTACAAGAAAGAAGGAAAATATCAGTCAGGCCTACTACCCCCCCGAACAAATGGGATTCTTTTTGCCACCTTGATTCCTATTTACCGCTACTCTCATCGTGTCGCCCTCTCCAACGTAACACCCTCTGTCGCATGTCGGGTGGCGGTCCGGCGCTGTCCAACTGCACCAAGAACGAGCCATGCTAGATCGCCGAGGTCAAATCCTTCGCGGTCCAATTGCGTGTCACTCCGCACCCTCAGGGGGTATGCCTGTCTCCCCACAAGGCAATTTTCTCCTTCTTCGACCTCCATTCTTATCGTGAAATCCTCCATTAAGGGAATCTTCCCCGGAAAATTTTTGCACTCTCTTCCAACATGAATATGTCAATTGTGATCTTTAGAGACGATCACGCAGAAAGATTCAGTTTCCGAAGAGAAACAAACCTACGAAAACCACATTCTATGGACAGTCGAAGGTAGGTCGCGCGGAGCCAAAGGCGGGCATGGAAAGAAGTGCGCTTGGCGGCTACGTATCAGGCGACGCAATGAAAGAATCGGGTTAAAGCGTGCGATTTTGGAGAGTAGACAAAACGATCGATAGAATAGGATGCAGTAGAAGTGTGAGATGTAGTGCAATAAGTCAAAAGGTCAAAAAGAGTTTCTAGTGAAGGCACTCCGAGAACCAAGTGGAAGCGTTCCGCCGCCAGCATTTGTGACAGATGTACGGCGGGAATTTGAACGCGTAACAGTCCTTCCCAGGTTTTTCGAATTGTTCATCAAAGCAAACACCTTTTCTGTTCTTTTTGTCCTTATCATGAACGACGGGCCCAAGTCGGCGATTCATGGGTGAGATGGGAACATGATCTTTGCGGGAAGGATTCCTTTGAAAGCGACGATTAAAGGCAGCGATTACGATAAATTCAAGAAGGGTTAGTGTGACGTGGTGGTGCTCAATGGTACGCCAGTAGCGAAAAAAGCAGAAAAATCCGTCAAGAAAACGCAAAACGGGACCCCCTTTTTTGGCCGTTGGTTTTCACTCATGAACAGGTAACAGCTCAGAAAGTGGACGTATGAACGAGTTCACCGCAACGCGTTTGATGGCACCATGCCAAACCACGCTTCAATCGAGATGCTCCATTTGCGCCGCTGCTGGCAACGCAGCTCGTCCAAATCAACAAGTAAACTAGTGGGCGGATCGCTTTTGGGGGCGGAGCGCTTTCGAAGTCCTGCTCAGCAACCAGCGCACCTTTCGTCGTGAAAGCGCCACATCTCGCTTCCTTGGCAGCCAAGTAACTGCTTCGTGTGGTGCATATGCTTCCCCGATGCGCTCCCTCTTTATCGTAACCGATTCCTTTAACATCACAACACCAGTAAATACACTTACCAGGAAGTGCACAGTATGCAGGGAGCACACGTACCTCCCCTTTGTCAGCATTTATAAATCGAATCGATTGCCTATAAGTAATCGCATAAAAAATAATAAAAGAGAAACATTGAGAAAATGATGCTAAAGGCAGTGAATATGATAGCTGAAGGGCGGATCGAAATTGGTCGTTGAGCCTGATTGGCTGGAAGGCGATCTCAACCACGTCACCATCGTGCTGAGGGGTCTGGTTCATCAATAAGGTCTGATGACGCATGAAAACCGCTTCACTCCTCTCCCCCAGCCATCGTGTCCACCGACTTCAAAGGTTCTCACTCAGAGCCTATGATATCACTTTTTTAGGCCGTTTGGCCCCGTACCTCTGGAAGAGCGAAAAAATGACTTACACAAATGGCCCTGGGATACACTCATTCAGGTTACTGAATGTGTACGAAAATGTGCTATCTGATGTCCTTCGTGTGCCAATGGTCACATCCTGGAATGGTGATCCGGTCATGGAGTCGACCGGTTGAATCATTATGGTCACCGAATCAGGATATCCTATCGGCATCCAGTAGCAAGTTGCGGATCGCTGAAAATTCCCGGTTTTCAAGAAGAATCAATTTGTCCGAAAATTTAGAAAACTTATTTCCATTTTAAGAATGAGATGGAAGCGAGCATAAGCTCCAGAAAATGTGCAAGCTTCCAGCCCCTGGTTTGCATCATAGAAACACTTGAATGCTTACAAAGTCATTGACAGTCATTTACGATAGTCGACACTCCTACACGCGCTTCATGCATCTAAAAGTTGGTCTCTATTCTTAAATAAACTGTAAGATCAGAAAGTAAACATATGCCAGCTTTAGATTGGGTCGCCTGTTCCATACAATACAGAGGAAAAGTGAATCAGCCACCAACCAATGATGCGTAATCCCACATTTGCTATCTCCGCCCATTTCGTCCCAGATTGTGACTTCTCAAGGTTAAGCAACTCACTATGGTATCGAACAGGATCTCCTATATCGATAAGCGGATTGTCCGTGTAACTGAGAAGCATTGTTCTGCCGGAATTAACAAATGCTCTTAACGAGCAAGTTAGACCAGGTGTTGGCGCGATGACGCGAATGTAAGACGTCGTAGTCGGGAGTACGTAGAACTAAAAATATAACCTTTACAAATATAATCTAATTATGGTATAACAAAATAACAACTCGAACTTTTCTGAAGAATCTATACAGTAGCGCTTTATCAAAAACACCACTAAAGGCATAGGTGGCGATAAGACCTTTAGAGGAATTCTATCCGCGAATGATACAACAGAAGTCGTGATACTGTCACAACTCGAAGGTGCGCAACAAGAGCTCCAAGGCCATACTTCAATCGCTGCGACCGCTGCCATTTTTACTCGTCCACAGGATGCTCGGTGTCCGATAATTTCGTACGACGTGATCTCGTGCGTATTCCCTGTGTGCCCCTCCGTCCTATTACGGACGAGCTTACAAGAAATAGAGCTTCTCAGTTGCAGAGTGTCCTTGGGGCTTCGTTCACTTATTTTCCTGACTGACGGACTTTTTCGTGACAGTCTTTGTTTCATTTTCAAGTGAAATACCGCACCAACACGATCGCGATCTGTGCCCTTAAGTTCTATGAAAGAAATGAAGTCACATACCGAATAGTAAGTCCCTGAAGAAGTTTGCGTCAGGTTTTTTCCATCCAGGTCAGCAACATACGGTGGAGTGAACGTGGCGGGATTACCTAAAAACAAATTTTCTTGCGGTTTACGCCAAACGACCAAACTTGTATAGCAGACCATCGTTCTTGTCGACAGTGAGCAGAACTTTTGTTTCTTCTCCAGTGGGGATACCCATGACGAATAAATCACTACAGTTGAATTTGTAACGAACAACGAGATTCTCCATTTTGTTGTAGTTTGACAGTACTTTCGTCATCACCTAAATAATAGAGTAAACGACGAAGTCGTCAAATCCCTACATTGCGAAAAACTTACTGTAACAAGACGGGGGGATAGGATCAACTGTAACAGGACGGGTGGGGACAGGAGACGGGGAATAGCATCAATTAACACCTGTAAGTCAACATATCATGAGTTTATTACGACTTCAAGAATGTCTTAGCATACTTCATTCAGATTCCTTCAAGCATGTTTCTTTCTTGTCTTCCTCTCCGGTCCAAACGGGAGACGTGCGTTTCTCCTCCTGGGGTCAGGTCACCACAGTTGCGCGATCATTGAAGCTTAAGGTTAAGTTTGGGTTTAGACTTAGGTTAAGGTTTATGCTTACACATTGGCTTATGCCTAAGCCTATGATTGGGCCTAGGCTTAGTCCTAAGCTTGCTCCGAGCGAATGAACGGCGTCTCAATTTTAGGTGACCTGACCCCAGGAGGAGAAACGCTACGCACCCCTCCAACCCCCTCCGCACTCAGTCTTTTTGGAGCCACCTCTCCCTCACACTACGACTAAAATAATGTCCTTACACGGTGATACCAACATTCAAGTGCTGTGTTTATTGGAGTCATAGGTGGGCAACGACAACAAACAGACATCCAGGCCGTCACTCTCTTGGTCACCAGGGTCAAGCAGTGAGTTAATAAGAATTTGGGATCAACGCAATCTCCATCTGAAGAGGTTCTTTGTGCAACTCCTTCCGTCCATATTATGGGCATGGTTTCCCGATGGTGTATGTCAGTCTTAAAGCGGCTTACGCGCCACAAACTTACTACAAACTTCGAAAATTTCGTACATTTTGTTTTTTGCCTTCCCAGCATAGGACTTTCACACCACGAACCACTTCCCTTCCCTACTTCTTCATGATAATGCTAATTAAACCAAATATGGCCACCTGTCCCAAAATCGCAACCCAGGCGAGAGTCCAGCGTGACACCGAATATAACATAATTCTATCGAAAATGAAATATCTTGAGCAGTGTAGAAAGGATTGGGGCTGGTTAGTTGTGGCGGCCCCGTTGAATCACTTTGCTGTATCCACACTGAAAACCCCACAACTGCGTCACGCCGCTAACAGTGCCCACTTCGGGCTTAATAGCATCTACTTTCACAAGGAGCGTATAGGTACAAAATCCACTGTGAGACCAATCAATAATCGATCGACTAAAAAACACTGTATACCGTAGCCACGTCGCTTCTGTTGACAATGAGAAGGTCACCATGAGTCGCCACTGCCAGCCTTCTGAATACATCGAATCTGTCCCCGGCGGTATCGAGACTTTGTGGAGGAGATTCGGAGAAGATGAATGTTAGCTAAAAATCAATCGCGTAACTTATTATGACTGAAAGAAGACTGCTTTCATGAGAGCTCACTGAATGTTTTAGATAACAGCGAAAAAGAAAATCTACCTAATCCTCTTCAACAAATTTGAAGTCAGCTGCCCTGAAAGACTAGAAAGAAGGCGTTGAATTCGGTTTTTGATTGTTCTGACCTGCCGTTTGTCACGAAGGTTTCGCAAAAGAAGCGACAGTTATGCACGCCCTAACAACTCCCCGTGATGAGTCACTCAACAATAAGTACATCCTAAATATAAAAGCTCACACCACCCGTGCACAAAGCTATGCGGATCAACTTCTGTTTTGGGTGCACTTCGCTAGCTGCATTCGCACTCTCAAAATCGAACGATGAGCTAAACATCCCAAAAAGCTCTTCATTCTCTTTTCTAAAAATCACCTTGTTCCGCCAAACGGCCGCCATTGATACCAATGTGTGCTCAGAGTTGTTTGAAGACAATAAATGATCAGCTGGAGTGGCATCGCTGGCAGCCACGTCGGCGAACACAAGCACGTTGGAGAATGCCTTAGTGAACCTGAACAGAACAGTGTGCCAACGGTGCGAAAATATGCATACAATGGTGTCGCCTGATCAAAAGACTGATGTTCCTTGAAAGGGCGGAAGTGGTGTAGTGGCAAGTGGCGCGCTTACCACGCGAGCGGTCCGGGGATCAAATCCTGGGTCGTGAGTCGCCCGGGCCAACCAAGCCTTCCATCCCTCCGGGGTCGGTTAATTGGTACCAGACTTGTCTGGGAGGATAAAAACACTGACTTGTACATCGGCTGGCCCCGCAAGTCATTGTATAGGCCACATCGCATTCAAACGCCACTACGAATGTACAAATGGAAGTAGAATGCGTGCCGCATCCCAAAAGGGATTGATCAACGGCAAATGCTTTATCCTTTTTTCCTTTTTCTCTTCAAAAAGTATTTTTCGATATATTCTTGGGCCGAAGGCAACAGTACCCGGCAAGTGATGGGTTTGCGTCATCAGTCGAAACAGAGGCGCAGGTTCAACAGTGAGGACGACTGGCCGATTTCGGCTGTAGGACCCCTCCACCCCAACCACTTAGGTTGTGTGTTGGTGCTGATTGTGTCGCTAAACCTTATGCATTTCATTGTGGGCATTGCCCAGCTTCGCCTCCAAAATCTCGAAAGCACGTCCAGGTAAAATTTGGCAGATTTTTAGAAGGCTGCCTGAGTACCGCAATAATTTTCTAGCTTCGATGGAGATGATTCGTCTTATCACTCACTCAGTTCTTCATAGAAAGATCGATTCCGGCACATCAGTGATATCTCACTCAAACATTCTAATGGGTGCTTATTTGTTCAGGTTTGGGTACATACCACAGCAAGCAGCTGTATTTTAAATAATAAAAAATTGATAAAATGCCTGCGCTCCTAAAAAGAGAAAAAGCGGCGAAAAAGGCGATTGTGATCGGCCTTCGCAAACCACAAAAAGTAAAAGACGAAATAGAATGAGTAGTGTGATGTGGATAAAAATTACGACTTAGAGGAAACGAATGCTTTCCTAACAGGGGTCGTTCAGGGTGTGGAGCGCTTTTTCAAAAACGGCTTTTCTGCATGCTAGAAACTCATGCTGCATTTTCGCTGAGCAGTCCCACTAAGACCGAAAAATGGTGAGGTAGTAGTCCAAGGTTCAGTTCGTCGTGATGACAGAAGCTTTGCATTTTAGGTTGGAGCTTCCAAATTTGCTCCAAATATTGCCAGCTCCCAATAATAGATGTCAACGTTCAATATTAGGTACCGGATATCTTAGTGTCGTTTTTTCACCGCGAGTTTCGGACCACCAATATTTTAATTCAAAATCCAGTGAGTGAAACGGCATATCCATCGAATGACTCATTAGCCCTTTCCCATTTACCAGTATGAGTGAAAACCTCGTACGATTAAAGTTAGGAATTTTTTGAGACGAAAAAGAGAGGTAGGTCGAATTTGACATCATCTGACAAATCATCCCTCTACCTTGCTAAACAGTTGGGCCTGGACAAAATATGTATACATTTAGTTAGAGTAGGGTCTGCACTGTTTGGTGGAAAATTTATTACTTACCAGCTCAACTGGACAATTTTTCCCGGAGTCTTTTTTGCCACATGGGGTCAAAAACGCACCCTTTTTGAGCACACGTGAGTAGCAGATGAGCACATTTATTAGAATTTCTTGGTCAATCAACTTCGTTAGAGCGTCTGTGCACCATCGATCAGTAACTGCTAGGGTGTCCTACCATTCCAGCACAAGACTGGTGCAGCCCCGTTTTGACTGATTTAGCTAGGACCACCTTTTTGGCGACGGTTGCGGGCATCCCTTCAAAGACTTTACTGTCTTTTAAGAAAACTGTGAAAAACCGATGAGCATTTTAAATGGTAGTATTCCCTCCATCAAATGCAATGCTGGTTTGGTGGGCGGAGGTTACAGCTCTCAGCAAGAATTTTGATGCATTTGGTACACACATGCGAATTTGCACACTGGACCCAGGAATTTTCAGAAGAAAGTATAAAAATTGGGGGAAAGTTAAAATTGTGAACCAACAATAGAAACGGTAAGCAACATATTTCGCAATATTAATGAGCAAAAACTGCCTTCTGGGATATTGATTTTCCATAGTAATCGGCCCCAAAACTTCCTGAACTCAGAAAAGCGACACTAAGATATCCGGTACCTAATAAATTCAATAATTCTAATACACCCAGAATTTTTACTTATAATAGGG